AAATTGGTCCGATATCGACGGTTCCGACAAATAAGCAGCTTCTTGGGAGAAAGGCATGTGCAAATTTCAGATCGATATCTCAGCAACTGAAGGACTAGTTCGCGTATATACAGTCAGAAAGACGACATGGCTAAATCGACTCTCGCTCGCCACGCTGTAGGGTCTCTCACTTTTCCTTTTAGGTGTTACAAATTTCAAGGCAAACTTACTCTATGGAGGGTATAAAACAGGCATATTGGATTTCAAAGTAAAAATATTTAATGAAATATAAATTTTTTAATATTATTACTCATACATCTTAGCCAAAGCAGTTGTGAGATTATAACACTATGTACATGTATATGCATGTACATATCTAGATATGTTTGTACATTATGTTTACAAATATCAGTGCTATTTTTGATACATGGGAGCGTCCCTGATGTAATATTTAATGCATGTTTTGAATGCGTACGGTGCGTGCAAAGTGGTCCAATAGCGCAAATGTGTCTTTAATTTGATTCTATTATATCTAGCAAAGGGAAGAAAAGAATATTTGGATGTGCGAACGAAGAGCACTTCAAATTAGCAATGCCTGTTTATAGAAAGGACAAGAAATTGGCAGGCAGCCATATTTTGAGAGCAAAATGCCAAGCCTTTATTTGTTGTAAGCAGAAAATCAGGGGTTTTAAAAAGCTGCACACCGCTTGGATATAGCATTTATGTTTTAGCTAATTTTTCGTCTAGTACTGCTCTGCTCTCATCCACCTAAAATGTCAATTATAGTCAATAGTCAAATCAGCAAGTGGAACGCATACGTAATGATATCCAGTCGAGGGCTGTCACCTTAGCAGAATTATCGAAAGCTATTTGTTGTTCAAAATTTTTTGGGGTATGTTTTCGTCAGCTACAAAAACAATGACAAATCTATTTGGTGTATATTTTGTGTGATAGAAAAACATCAGCAACAATTTGTCAACAAATTTTATATTCTAGAATGGCACTAACCTCTACGCATGTTCATTATTAAAATTTACTCAATAACATATTAATCAATAAGTTTAGTTCAGCTGTTTCGAAATTTGTATACCCTGAACAGGTTACCATGAAGTTTGTAACATGCAGATGGAAATGCCTAGGACCTTATAAAGCATGTGCATACACATCCGATGTCGGACTACTATAGCTTCCATACAAACTTATCGATCAAAATCAAGTTTTTATAATGAAATTTTTTTTATTTGACAAGATACCTTCACGAAATTCTGCAAAAACTGCTATTTAAGGCAATAGTAAAATCTCTGAGCAAATTGTTCAGATAGGACCACTATAGCACTAGCATACAGCTGCCATAAAAACTGATATATCAATATCAAGCTCGTGTAAGAAAACTTTTTTAATTGACAAATTATCATTACGAAATTTGGCATAGATTGTTGGCCTATCGCTACAATCTCCGAAGATTATTTCAGATCGGACCACTATAGCATTACAAACTGAGCGCTCAAAATTAAAATAAAAATCTCTTTATCTCCTTTTATGCTATAAAAAATGCATATGTGAAGGTAATTATAGCTTCGGTGTAGCCGAAGTTAACGTTTTTTTATTGTTTGGTATTCTCAAGACTACTTCCGAAAATTTTGGTTCATTAAATCAGATATTTTCTTTTCAACAAAAAAATTTTGCATTATTACAAAGCATGTGTAAGGATATGTACTATCAAAACCATTTTTTCAATAATTGTGTATATCAGATCAGTATTAAGTCGACTTACCCGTTCAAACTGTGACTGTGAAATATTTTTAATGGAATACCGTGACATTTGTGGCGAACAGGTGCAACGTCGTTCTGTAAAAAACTGAACTGAAAAAAATTTAATAATTATTCAACTGCGAACAATAAAATTAAAATAAATAATTTGCTTAAAGCCGACATTTTTAATTTTCTTAAAAAATTCGACATAATATCGCACAAGTTGCAGAAGGCATTCTTTATGCTCATAAATTTTCACCTAACCGTAGAAGTGTATGTAGCTGCATTCATACATTTATCAAATTGGTATTAAAAAAAAATAATTAATATATATTTTTTGCAATTTTTCTCTGCACATTTAAATGTTATTAATGGGTTGTCTTAAAATGACTTAATATATGCAGGGACACGGCTGTCACTCAACTTGTGTGGGAATGACCTCTTGTTTTGATTGTGATTCTTTTGTTTTTTTGTTCTTTTAAACAATTTCCATTTCTAGATTATATTAAAAATCAAAGACACCTGTCAGCAGCTCAATTTACAGTTATAGTGAGGAAAATTTCACCGAAACGGTTGGAAATTTTCACACGGCCTTCTTTGATATATATATGTCAGTTAATGATCGAAGGAATAATAAGATTTTTGATAATAATTTCGATTTTTAAAGCCTCATTGATGTGTAAACTGTTATACAAAACACGACTTTTTTTTTGGTAAACTGCCATTTTGTCGAAAATCTTAATTTTGACTAGCTCTTCGAGCATTACTTGTATTGATTTACTGCTATTATAAATATTTATGGTTTTTGAGTTTGAGATAGTTTTAAGCAGAAAGATCAAGCTTATCGCCAGACACCTTTTTCGAAGATCCTCGTGGAAATCGGCTACATGATCATCGGAATCCAATATTTTTTAAAATTATTACAAAAAAAAAAAACTTTTAAATCGTATGTCTTTTTTTATACCTCTACAGCTATCATAGACCACAAAAAACATTATTATCATATTTGCTTCAAGTTCAAGTCTGAAGAGGTTAATCTTCAATGATTTAAGTACATTAAAATCTGTAAATGTACAATATTTTTAATTATTTATTAAATAAAATGTCACTTCAACAAAATTCCACGAGAAAACGTGTTTTGTCTGACTTGCAAATGGATATAAGCCTCTTAAATATTTGTTCCTACAACAGTCGCGTCTACGTAACCGGAATGGACCCGGATTTTTAACTGGCCAAGGACTGTTACGCAACAATAACACCTACAAAGTAATTGGAGAATGTTTTCTTCTGATTGAACAACAACAAAAACAATTTTTAAATAGGTTACACATTTAATAAAAATTTTCGCAATATTTGTATTATTAATTTTTAAGGAAATTTCTTACAACTTCTTTACGTACATTCGGTTCGTAAATGGTATATATTATACAAATGATTGACAAACAGCTTAATGCATTTCATTTCGATCAGACATTTCTACCGTTGCCACGTCATTATCTAATATCTACCGTATAATGTAAAAGTATACAAAAATTTATTTTTAAACTCATTCAAAAATACTAAAATAAATGGGCGAATTGTACGCAGGCATATAAAGAAACCTATTTTGATTGAAGACACCTGCTTTTCTATTTAGTTTTATTGCCCGAAGTGAGCATCGTATCAATTAAGTTGTAATTTTGCATAAAATATTCATTACGAACAACCGAATATGTTGCAATGCTTACTCATTAGCTAACTAAATCATCCATCTGTGCTAAAAATTGAAAATAAAATTGCAATTTAAAAATACCGCACAATGCTCTCAATGAGTGTACTTTTCTGGCGTACAGTGGAGCAAAATCAAAATTTCTTTGTAATATATTTGGCTGTAGTAAGAGCTTTATTGACATTTAGCATATTTTATTCTAGTATATTTAATTTTTTATTTCGCAAAACCGCTGAATACTGAATTTTTAATACTAAAAAATTGTATTCAAATTCAAAATATGCACAGTATTTTAAGATTCATTATTGCATACCAAGTTTTTGCATCAAGCGCCGTCATTTGCAAAACTCAGTCGCCCGAAACGTCAACGTCTGCTGAAAATACTTTTTGACGATAATATGAAGTGACAATTAAACGAATCATCGCGCATTTGAAATGAAAAACGCAATTCACACAAAACCATAAACATATGACATAAATTGAAAATTTTGCTGTCGGAAAAGAAGTTAAGTATAGGAAAATCTAATGGAGAGCGCAATTGCTCACGCTGAAAATCGAACGCGAATATTTGTCTATTTCTAGAGAAAAGTTTTCCCCGAGTCTCTGACAATTTGCTGCATTCATACATACATACATGTGTAAATACTATGCAAATACAGTCGAGTTCATACAAATGTGTCAACATGCTTACTCAAAGAAAAATTTCGTTAACTGACTTTTGAGATTTTTGAGTTATTTGTATAAAATTAGTTAAGAATGTATTTTAAGTAATTCTGAAACAGTGTCTGTTAAATAACAAAAAAAATTTAATTTTGCGTGCATCCAAGCTATTATATCCTTCACAAATAAAAAAATTCCGTGCAAGAACTTTATTTTGATCGGTCAATTTGAATAGCAGCTATATGCTATAGTGGTACGATCTGAACAATATGTTTGGAGATTGAAGTCTTGTCTGAATAGTAAGCTTTGCCAAATTTCGTAGATATATTTTTTGTCAAATAGCAAAGTTTTCCATACAAGGACTTGATTTTGATCGATCACTTTGTATGGTAACGATATCCGATATTGGTCCGATATCGACGGTTCCGACAAATAAGCAGCTTCTTGGGGAGAAAAGGGCATGTGCAAAATTTCAGATCGATATCTCAGCAACTGAAGGACTAGTTCGCGTATATACAGTCAGAAAGACAGACATGGCTAAATCGATCTCTCACTTTTCCTTTTAGGTGTTACAAATTTCAAGGCAAACTTACTCTATGGAGGGTATAAAAACAGGCATATTGGATTTCAAAGTAAAAAATATTTAATGAAATATACATTTTTTAATATTAATAATATTTATATCTACAATATTTATGTAAATCTGTAAAAAAAAACAACGAAATTTAATTTTAAAAAACTCAATATTCTCAAAAGTGTACTTATTTATAAGCACACAGCTGTCAATCTACGCCATTTCTTTGTATAAAAATGAGCGAACGGAAAATGGCACCGTATCTCCTTCGAACCACTGATGAAATGGCTCGAAAATTTTTCAGATTGGAAAATTCAAAAATTCGGCACATTTCGGTTTCGAAGCTCGGTCCGTGCGAATGGTTTTGCGGCAACAAACGATTGGCGCCGTTTAAAATATGTGAAGGGTGCGCGTGTGTGTGTGAATGCTTTTCTTTTGCTTTTGCGCAACAAAAACAACAACGCGACGCGGCGGCGCTACGGCAAAAAGGCGTAACAGTAGTGTGCACGTAATTTTATGTGCTAAACATACATAAAAAAATATATAAATAAATTTAATACAAAATATTAGTGCTACCACCTGCACAAAAAGTGCATGAACGACGTTTTTGGGAAATTCATTCAAATATTGTGTGCGATTTTGGAAAAGTGAGTTCAGAAATAAATGCATGCACTCGTAGTAACAGCAATTGCAAATGCGTCGCTTTCGTAATCACTGAAAATTTAGATACGCTTGAACTTACGAAAACACTTGTGGTTTTTTTTATTATTTTATATTATATTCATGCAAGCCCAAATCAACCAAAAAAGCCGCATTTAATAAAGTATAAAAAAATTGTATTTCAAATATTTGTAGGTGTGTGTGGTGCATGAAAAATATTCATAAAATATCTGCTTTTAAAAATAGCATGAAAATGTGTGCTCCCGTTGGTGAAATTGTGTCGCCACAGAGCACGGCGGCGTTGAACGGTGTCGTGAAATTATCATAAAAAATAAAAAAAATGAAACATTTGGCTTTTAAGCAGCAGGCGTACTCATGTTCGGTTGTGTGTGTGATTTATTTATGAGTTGCGAATTTTCGAAATTTTTGCTTCGAAAATTTTAAAAATCTTTTCTGATTATTTTTGACTTGAAAACGACACAGTCTGTGCTCTTTATATGCAACAAAGTCATATTTTCTAAAACAAAAAAAAAATTAATATATATATATATACAATATATTTTAGTGCTCGCGAACTTTTGTTAAGAAAAAATCAGAAAAATTTAATTTCGAAAATTTTGAAATCGCCTAAACACAATTCGCTCATAAGTTATGCCGGCCGCAAAGTACATATATGTATTTGTGTGCAGACGCGCAACCCACTAACCGAGTAATATATTTAAGTTTTAGTATTTATTATATAGCGTATGAAGGCTAGAAATTATTAAAATGTAAATGCACAAGTGTGACTGACCATGTTCGAGAGTTTTCAGATTGTTAGGGTCCGATTTTAGCGCGACCACCACTTGTCAAAGCTATTTGTATGTATGGTATGTATGTACATAAACATTTGGTTAATACGTAGATATATGTGCATACATACATACATATATATATACAATTTTATATTTATATATAAAACTGGCATATACTTGTAGCTAGCAGACTCTTAAAATTAACCAACGCCTCCAGACCGCTTTCAACCACATTCAACCACGCGTCTTCTCTTACCAGCAACTCGCAAAAAAATCACATACATAAACACTGGACAGAAAAAGTCAAGGTACCATTTACAATCAAAAATAAATTGTTGTAAAAAATAACTTTATATACTTTATAAAAAAAAAAACCAATTTATTTGATATTCATTAAAGGACATTAAATATTTAGTTTTATGAAAATCAAAGTGTTTAAATAGCTGACAGTAACATAATTGTATAAACAAAACAAAACATACGGATAAAAAAAAATCCATTAGAAAAAGTCTGCGTACAAGGTACATAAGTCGAATAAAGTTATTCTTCCTACGAATTCTTCTTAAAATCTAACGTTTTAAAACTTCCGTTAAGGGTTTTGGCATGGAATAGACAAGTTTAGAGGTAATTGTGCTTTGGCGGACTTTATGTACCAGTGAATCTCATAGACGCTATTTAGGATTAAAATCTGGTGATTCGGGTGGTGTTCGAAGCTGTTTGGAAACGTAGAGTTAGTAAATCTTAACTATGTCTGCTGTATGCTTCGGGTCGTTATTCTGTAAAAAATAGGAGTCACTATCAAGACCAAATTTTACCGCTCTTTGCTTCAAATTTATTTTTAAGATATTAAAGTATGCATATTTAACCATGATGCACTCTTTAAAGATTCGAGATTCGATATTCTAAAATTAATAACAAACTAAACAAAAATCTTATAAAATTTAAGAAAACAAGTTAAACTCTTTCTTTCCGACAATTTTACATTTGGTCAATATGAGCAAATTCCCATTTTACTATTGTACTTGTACGCAGACTTTTTCTGCGCTGCCAAATTACTATTTTTTTTTTGTAAATTTGTCTATAAAACTATAGTGTCAGGTTTTCATTGCTTTAAATGCTATGAGGTTATGATATATAATATATTACTTGTATTATAATGGACTAGTGTTAAAGCACCTAATATAATGATTGCCAAAAATTTAGTATTAAAGTTATTTTTTTTTACAAAAAGAAAAAAAGATATAAGCGTGTACGCAAACTTTTTCTGACGAGTGTACGTACAAACGTACATATATAATATGTTTGTTTGTAGATTATAAAAGCTAAAAACATTTAGCGCCAGAAGTATTAGTATCGAAAGTTTCTTACATCTCGCTGCTGTTTTATTTTTAGTCTTTAAATCAGCGTTTGTTTTTTGTTTTGCTTTTTTACTTTGCCAAATTTGCATTGATCATTGCATGCTTTTCTCTGGCGTGCATGTAAAAATAACTTTCTTGGGCGTCATTATTTTTAGCACATTTTCTCTAAAAAAAAAACATAAAACATGCAAACATTTGCCCAAATGTTTGGTATATTTGTCTTGCTTGAAACTCTATCGTTGAAATTCACTGCAAAACTAAATTTTTATACCCAGCCTGTACTTTCATAACGATTACAAAGTTTTTTCATATATTATATGTTTATACGTACAAGTATATAATATTTTTCACTTCATGTAATAATTATAAGGTTACCAGGTCAGCATCAATAACGTGAATTACGTTGACATTTGACAAGTGTCAAAATAAGCAATGGCTTTATGAACGTCATTATTTAAAAACACACCTAAGCAATTGTAATCACTTTTTTAATTTAAAATATTTATTTATTTTTCATATACCTGTATCGAATGGAGAATATTCTCTGCAAATTTGAAGTTGATCCTGCAAATAGTTTCGGAGATATGAGCGTATTTAAAAGTTTTTTTTTTTAATTTAGTGTAATCGGATCTTTAAACCTTACACATGTTTTTTTAGAAACACTATTTGCAAAGCCGGAGAATAGAATTTCTTCAAAACGGTTGGACTCATCAACTGTGCATTCTCACACGACCTTCTTAGATATATTTGTCAGGTAATGAGTAATAAAATTGTTGACAATGATTTCGATGTTTTAAACCACTCTGAAGTAAATTTTGGCACAAGAACAGTTTTTTTTTAAGGTCGCCATTTTGTCAAATTGATTGATCTATTGTAATATTGTTTTTTGTTTTTGGATAAGACATAATTTTAAGAAGAAAAATCTTCTTTATCGCTACACACCATTTTCGGTGGTCCTCCTGGAGATCAGCTACGGGGTCAAGGGAATGCGAAATTTTTTTTAACGAATCGCCGATTATTAAAGTATATTAAATTCTGTAAATGTACATTATTTTTTATTTATTTATTAAATTAAACGCCTCTTCAAGAACAATTCACAAAAAACGCGTTTTTACTGACTTGCAAGTATGTAGATACATATGCATATATATTTACGTGGTCAATTAAATATTTATCCGATTTTTTTTTTAATTTTGCAAATAGAGAGAAAACAAATTTCAAAAATGTTTCTTTTTTCAATTGATGTAAAAGTGCCCTTTACCAAGTGTAAAATTTCGAAAAAACAAATTATTTTTATTTTTTGCATATTTCTATAGTGTATACCTTAAAATATAACATACTAAAATTTTGATTGATTATTTCAAATATTTTTTGAGTTACAGTCGTAGCCGTTCAGTTCAATTGGTTTATCGTTCAATGCGTTTTTCTTTTTTTTTTATAACTCGAAAACAATGCATTCAAGCATTACAAGCTTTAAAGCCATCGGATGATTGATTTTCCAGTTATAAAAAAGCTAAAAACGGAAAATCACAGGAAAATGTACAACTCTGTAGGTATTATTGTTAGCTTCAGCGATCTAAGAGGAAAATATTTAAAATAATTTTAAGTTGACTTGGAAGCGTTTCTGCTTTGAATTGAAGATTAGACTATCAGCTAGAAATCCGAATGAAATATCAAAACAGACAAATAGAAAATTATGAAAGACTTTCTATTTACTAATAATTCGGTAGCCACATAGTTCTTTAGTATTAAAAACGATCGTTTAGAAACAAATATGTTTAGAAAATATTGCATAAATTTACTATTTTTGCTATATTTCGCATTTGTAGTTTAACGCGAAAACTAATAACCGTTATGTGTTCACCATGTGATCCTGTTTTTTTTTTTTGAAGATAAAATGTTTAATAATTAAATTATTTCGGTTTCGATATCCATCATGCCCTCGACTATTTTTGAAAAACTACTAAGCATTTGTGAAGTAAAAAAAAGTACTTAGATGGTGATCTGCTGAAATTAGCTCTTAATAAAGATGACTGCCTTGGCCAAGTGTTACTAAATTGTGGTAAAAACGATAGAATTTACATACATAACATCTGATCAATATTACCCGGACTGGTCCATTTAAACTGCACACGCAAACCGAATCGATACATTTTTCTTTCCTAAAATAATACCAACCTTTTAATGTTCGTGTGGAGTTTGATCTGCATATGTATGTCAAATAGAATGGTTTGGCAGCGATTTAATTGGCGACGCAAAAATTTTGTCTGGCGATTTTACCATGAAAAAAGAATGGAACGAAATGTTTGCTAGAAATTTCGTGTTTCCAATGGAATTACGGATTCGTTGAAAATGTTGCAGAAGTGTTTTGTGTAAACTACTTTATCACGAACACAAGTATTTGAGTGGCATAAAGCATTCAGTTAAGGTCGTAATGACAATAACATCAAAAAGTGAGGACCAGAGGACCTCCACATCTCTTATGGATCTACTCAACACAATTAATTCAATGTTTTCGATGTGATGCGTGGTAATGCTAAACTCTTACAGAAAACCTGAATCTTTTGCAAAAGTGACGTTGAGTAGAGATCGCAAAAGTGATGCTTAACAACTTAGCTGAAGATCCTGCATTCATCATTCACATTATTACTGGTGACGAGACGTGAAATTGTATAGACAATTGGATTAAGCGTTGGCATGCTTGTACTTGTATTGACTCAGAAGTCTTTGTTTTTTTTTTGTGTTTTTGAAGCGATGATAAAGACTTATGTATATTTAATACGTAAAAATGTTTGTTTTCGGCATAAATTTCATCAGACGATATTTTATTTTTAATTATGTAAAAAATTTTCGTCTCTAACCACAATTTTGAAAACGTATTCATATTATAACTTAAAGGAATAAACACGAAATTTTACAACCACCACTTAATTAAGCACTATTTTTGTACCAAATTATTTTTTTATATTATGACTCAGCCAATAATATCAAAAGTTTTGCTAAATAAATACAAATGGGTGTATGTATGTATGGTAAATAAAAACAAAATGACGATTTATAGCAACATTTTAGCAAAACTATTCCACTGCCCACCAGGTATAATAAAATACATTTTCCGTTTCTAAAAATACAAACGAACACATGTGTGGACTTATTTGTTTATATTCGTCATTCAGTTAGACAAAATGGAAAGATTTCATGTTAATTTCATTTTTCGCGCGAACTTTTACAATTTTTTACAAGGATTTCTAAAGTGATTGGAAAATTAAAATTATTATTCAGCAAAGAAGAAGAAAAATTGTATAAAATGGAAAACTTTTTATGTCACGTACTACATGCATGTATGTTTGTAAATATCATAAAGTGCATAATAATATAACCTATACCCAAAAATCAATACTTGAAAATTATTAATTTAGCTTCAAGGCCGCACACATATGCACAGCCACCCTTTGGGCTATAAATTTGTCGCCGTTCCGCATGTTTGAATTGTATTCGTATGTGGCGCATTTTAGTTGTGTTGTGTTGCATAGTTTGTCGGCGCCAGAGACCACCAT